CAAATCACGGCTTGAACTATCTTGCTTTGCATGTAATGCGTATATCTCATATATTAGTTTCCCCTTTTACGTTGCATTACTGAAATAAACAAACTTTTGCACGATACTCTAATTTTTCGAGTATCAACTGTATGTCAGGCAGAGAAGCCCTGTAGTGTGAAGCTTAACTATTTGCTGATAACAATCAGCTTAAGCTCTCAGGAAATTAGCTAACCCAGCACTACGGGGCTTAGGAGAGCTAATGGAATCTCCTAAGCAGAAGTTTCCAGCTATGTGGCTGAGGTAGTGGAGTCGAGGAACAGTACCTGACAGACCTCAGGTGGGAAGTAAAACTTTTCTGAAATGGTTTACCTAGTGGTACTTGGAGAGTTCCTTTACGTATCAACCACTTTTACTGTACTTATCTCAGTAAATTCATTATATGTATACTATATCAGTATAATGAAGTGCCACAGTAATACTGGAATAGATTAGAAATGGTAATATTATTATTATTGGTATTTATATAGTGCCAACTAATTCCGCAGCGCTTTACAATATTATGAAAAGGAGGACATTTACAATAAATTAGACAATTACACAGTGACACAGGAACAATAGGTAGATGATTTAATGTATTATGGCTGATGTGTTGTTGTTGCCACCCAAGTGTAGTGGGATTTTGAGTGCAGGACTTATTTTTATATGTTTGTATTTGCTTTTGTTTTGCACAGCCATGTTACAATACTGCCGTCCATTTCATGTGTTCTCTATTAAGGGCTAATAAGTATGTGGGGGTTCAGAAAGGTTTTTTTACCTGAAGCTGACAGAAGCAAGGTGAATTGTTAGCAGGTGAGCTTACACTTCAATGGCCATTGAAGTGATACGAAAAATCTCCACTTAATGAGCATAACGGTTTGATTTGATTTTTATTGTATTATAGTGGCACTGATGTTTCATTGTTTCTGCCCAGACGTAGTGGGAATTTGGGCACAGGACTTATTTTTGTATATTTGTAATATAATAGTATGTTTTGTTGCTTTTCTCCCCATATTTGCATAGCAGGGGGGAATGACTTCAAGGTCATATCTCAAGTCAACCTTTATTGTAAAATGACATTGTATATATTTATTGGTAGTATTAAATTATACTAAAAGGCGGAACACATGCAAAGTGTAATATAATTGGGTATCTGCAATATCTATTTTCTCTTTGTATAATTTTCATTTATATTAATGGTGAAGTGCATTCCTGGTATTTAATTCCAGCAAAGATTAACACTAATCCAATTGGATTGTGTTTAATAAATAATAGGGCACTCATAAATAATCAGCTCGAGATTTACAGCTGAATCTTGCCAGTTAATTAACATTATGATTCTCAACTTGAAAATATTTAATACACATTTAGAACATCCATTCGTATAGCAGTGACAACATTTTTTTTTTTTTTTGGCAGATACAGAAAAATTGCTGAAAATATAGGAAGAGAGAGGCTGGGTGGAATTAGTTACTGAATAACATAAGAGAAAACTGTCATAAAATATTACATGCAATATAGCTGGTAATGTTTTCTTTTGTAAGGTATACATATAAGTCAATATTTCTGTTTAGTGCATACTGTGCTATGAAGGCAGTCATCTTTAAACCATATTTGGCTGGAAGCACCACTTGTTTTATAAGACCATATTCAATATGATGGTCAGAAGCGCTTCCAGAGTACATTTTTACATATTCCGGTACTTGATATGTTCACCCACTATAATTATACTGTAAATATGGTCATCATACATAAATATGAACATCAGGTAGCAAGCTTATCCCACATCATGTATTAAAGAGATACTGTAGGCACCCAGACCACTTCTGCCCATTGGAGTGATCTGGGTGCCTTGCCTCTCTCTCCTTAGCCCGGTTAGTCCAAACACTGTGGTTTTGAAGAAACCACTGTGTTTTGATTACAGGGCTAATCCCAACTCTAGTTGCTGTCTCTCAGACAGACGCTAGATGGTGCTTCTGGATTCTTAGAGCACCAAAAGTGTTTTAAATGACGTTCGACGTCCCCACGCTCTGCATGAGGATGTCGAGCGTCGCCGGAATCCCCATAGGAAAGCATTGAATAATGCTTTCCTATGGGGAGGTTGAATGCGTGTGCGGACATTACCGTGCAAGCGCATAAGGTCTCCCCGGCCAGCATCCGGCGGCAGGGGAGAAGCGTGGGCAGAGCTGAGCCAGCGCCGAGGGACATCGTTTGTTTTCCTGGCACTATAGTTTCCCTTTTTGTTTATATCTATTGCCAACACGTGAGCCTATTTTACAAGTAGCAAGCTTATTGTTTTCTTTTTTTGACAAAAAAGTCATCATTCACCACTGTGACTTATTAAGACATAAAAATACCCGAATCTCACATAATCAATGAAAAAAAAAATCAGAAATACAACAAAATAAAATGATTTATTATGATTGTAGCGGCACCCCGATAGAGTGAGGGGTTTTCTCCACCAAGAGATGTCCTTTCTCCCCTGTTGTGAGAGGGAGGCTGTAGAGTAGAGCAGGAACAGCTCTTAGAAGAGATAGTGATTATAGTACTCCAAAGAGCAATCCCAGGAGCAGGGATTGCAGCAGGTATAGCTTTTCCCTACAAGCATGAGACGAGGCTCTGAGTTGAGGGTAAATCAGGAACTGAAAGTTTAATGAGGCATACTGGCCTTTTATACAGTTTTCCCCACAAGATTACCACCCAGGTGGACCTTGTGGGGCACAGAGACACAGGATCAACAAGCCAATAAAAATAGAGTTTTACATCCAGTCACTCCCAAACAGTGTGCACGATCCCTCCCCTCTGTTTGGGAAATAATTGAGTTAATTAGTGTATCAACTCAATTATCTCCAAACAAAAAATACAAGTATTTCACACATTTAAAAAACAAAAAAACATAAGAGACTCCATAAAATATACATTTCCTGATAGCCCCGATCTGGGGGAACAACATACTTAAAAATCACCCAGTTTGGTTCAGGGGTTCAAAAGTTAGCTGGAGGTCACATTTCTGCCTGGCCGCCACGAAGCTACTGCCCAGAATAGTTCCATAAGTTGAGCTGGGTCGGCCGGTCTATTTCAGGGGTAGGGAAACACATTAAAATAACGAAAGGACTGTTCGTGCATCTGATTCTCCAGTGTCTCTTGTTCGTGGGCTTCAATGTACCGAACACCGCTGTGTTCGTATGAAAAGGAAGCGAATTGCTGGAAGTGTGGAAGTCCCAGCGGTGTTCATGTGAGCGAGTGCCCAAAAACAGTTCCATGCGCTCAACGGAAACTGGCTGTTCGACAGTTTGAGATGGCCGCCGCCACATGTTCATGCATGTGAACGACGACCACCCAGCCATTCATCAATAAAGCTGCGGTTAACCACAGCTTCTAGGAGGTTAACTAGCAGCACACTCCACTTGCGGGGTGGTCAGTCATTCGGTAATTAGTTTGGTTATTCGAACACTATCATACAGTGCATAGGAGACGTTAAATTCACCGAACACACCAACGAACACATAATGAGAAATAGAAAATCCAGGGACAGAGAGGTCTGTCACAATGATTATTGGGCCCCCATCACTATTCATTGGAATTAAAGGGGTAGGGTCAGAATTAGGGTTGATGACTAGGAACTTTTGGACTCCAGCCACCAGATTTCGCACTTCTTGGGTACTTCCTGGCCTTTTATATTAAAAGTAAAAAGAAAAATATGCATCTCCTGAGTCCTTAAGGGCTCCAATATATTTTATAAATACTCTGGGCATCTGCTCTCCATCCAGCAATCCATGGAATGGAGAAAGAGGAAAGGTCACTGCAACAAATTCAAATTTATGAGGTCCTCAGGATCCCCCATTTTCATTTAGTATGTAAATTAGAGGATCAGTATGTACCATTTGATTTTCCCTTTCACTGTTCTCCACTGTAGCACTGAAAGGGTTAATTGTGCTGGCATAGATCTTCTAGTGAAACTTTACAAAGTCTCACTAACACTTAAACAATTAAAACGGGTTTTATGCCTGTGAAATTGTGCTTCAGATGGAACCCTGTACTAACTGGCATTGCAGCAAAGTTAAATGGCAATTTTGGCTAAACACCAAAAACAAGCCCATTGGGCTCTAGGAAATTAAGCTGGCAGATTCTATGATAAACACAACTTTTCTACACAACCTTAACATAACGGAAAAAAAATGAATTCTGGCGTAGCGAGTTCCTTTGGGGCGCATTCGCTTCAGGGCTTTGCAGATTCAGCTGCTCTAGAAGCCGGTGGGTCCCTTATGAGTATATTCTCAATGCCGCTGATTGGTCTAGGGAATCGACTTTCTATACCTTTTTATTTCCATCCGCGATCTCATGTTTCTTCTGTCTTTATGTCTGGGTGTTAAAATTGCAAATATGAAGCCTCCTGTCTTGCCATAAAATTTGGGATTATTCTAGCCTAGGTGAGGGAATAATCTAAATTTTATTAAAGACAGGAGGCGAATATTCCGCCCCCCCCTTACTGTTTTCCACCCTGGAATTGGTTTTGTTTTTTGCTGTTGTGTTAATTGGGGTATTGTTGTATTCTTTGTAATGTATGGTCTCATGTTTTATTAATAAACACATTTTCATTACTGCTGTTTTTGTTGTCTGTGTGCATTTATTTATCGTTTTGTATTCCACTGATGTCCACCAGTTGTTCTGGATATGGCGGTTTCTCATCTGTGTGTGCCGTATACAGTTGGTTTTGTTTGGTCTTCATGCTCTCCTGCTCGACCTCATCAAAGAAAGAGGAAGTGGGAGGGTCTGTGTAAGTGGTTTTATATTGATGTTATTTTGTTCTGATTGGTTGTTTTGAAAAGTTCTGTTAACTATTTATTTGCTGCTGGAGGGTTCAGTAAAGAAGGTAAAGCAAATATCCGCCTCCTGTCTTTAATAACATTTAGATTATTCCCTCACCGAAGCTAGAATAATCCCTAATTAACCTCTAGACCAGGCTTCCCCAGACTCCGGCTCTCCAGATGTTGCTGAACTACAACTCCCATGATTCTCAGCCTATTACATTCATAGAATCATGGGAGTTGTAGTTCAGCAACATCTGGAGGGCCGGAGTTTGAGGAAGCCTGCTCTAGACAGATAAGACAGCATCAAAAACTCATAATGTATTTGTGATAATGAGAAGGAAAAATAGTCTGCAATTAAACACAATGCCTTAACTATAATAATTTATGAAAAAAAGAAAATTAAAAACTCATGTCACAAAGGTACAAAGTAGTTGTTATGGTGCTTAGATTATATCGATAAGTGAATAACTACATGTACAGACCTAAGCGGTTGACAGCCAGCACTTTCTAGGAATGGTTAGAAACATCTCAAAATGCTGTAGTGATTTTGCCTGCTATTGTTCAGGCAAATATGTACTTATTGCTCAGTACCTCATGGGGGTTAACTTGCCAAACATAAAAAAGAAGAACTAGACCAACACATAATAATGTCACTATAGTTAATATTTGCCCTCATCAAATGAGCAGATAACATCCAAACAGACAAGGACAATATGATAAACATCTTGAAAGAAGTAACATTATATTATTGGCCTGTCATGACAGACACCAATATAATATGCTCCTTGCCAGAATCAAATCCAATTTCCAAGAGCTATATTACACAAACAAGAAGACTAGAATCACAGGCCAATGAATTACAAAAAGCAAATAAAATGAATAAAATGAATAAGCTATTCAGCAAATCACCAGCACAAACATACAGTGAGGGAAAAAATATTTGATCCTCTGCTGATTTTGAATGTTTGTTTACTGACAAAAAAAAAAAGATCAGTCTATAATTTTAATGGTAGATGTATTTTAACAGTGAGAGACAGAATAACGAAAAAAAATCCAGAAAAAACACGTCAAAAAAGTAATAAATTGATTTGCATTGATTTTCAATGAGTGAAATAAGTATTTGATCTTCTATCAATCAGCAAGATTATACAGGTAACAAGCTGAGATTAGGAGCTGTCATGCGGTATCTCTTCCGGGTTCGGCACTTCTGCATTGCGGAGCCGGACCCGCCCCCTTCTGACGCGGCAAAGACAGTACTTAGGGAGACCGCGCCAGGGAATAGGCGCTTGAGTTCCAATCCAAATAACCCAAGTAGCATAACAGGAGCACTCTTTTAAAGAGAGTGCTCCTAATCCGAGCTCGTTACCTGTATAAAAGACATCTGTCCACAGAAGCAATCAATCAGATTCCAAACTCTCCACCATGGACAAGATCAAAGAGCTGTCTTAGAATGTCAGGGACAAGATTGTAGACCTACACAAGGCTGGAATGGGCTACAAGAAAGAACGTGTACAGCCCCGTCTGAAGTTTGCCAATAAACATCTGAATAATTCAGAGGAGAACTGGGTTAAAGTGTTGTGGTCAGATGAGACCAAAAAAGAACACAGCATCAACTCAACTCGCCGTGTTTGGAGGAGGAGGAATGCTGTCTATGACCCAAAGAACACCATCTCCCTCATCAAACATGGAGGTGGAAACATTATGCTTTGGGGGTGCTTTTCTGCTAAGTGGACAGGACCTCATCAAAAGGGATGATGGATGGGACCCATCAAATCTTGGGTGAGAACCTCCTTCCCTTAGCCAGGGCATTGACCCAAAACACACAGCCAAGACAACAAAGATGTGGCTCAAGGAGCAGAAGGTTTGAGTTGCCAAACGTCAGCCTCAAAACCTTAATGACTTTGAGAGGATCTTCAAAGAGGAGTGGGAAAAATTCCTCCTGAGATGTGTGCAAACCTGGTGGTCAAATACAAGAAACGTCTGACCTCTTACTTGTCTTACTTGTTATTAATTTATTTAATATGTGTAGTTATACAGCATGTATGTTTGTTTATGTGCCAATGAGAACGGTTTAGCAATATTTGACACAAGCAACAAGCATGGGATGTTTGCTGTTCAAAGTGTGCCACGAAGTTGTCAGAAAGCCTTACTGATCATTTTGCTGACTTCCTAGAGTAAATTATTTTGTCAGATACAAATTTTTTTGGTAAATGTTGCTTTATTTTTTTCTGGTGCTTATATTTTTCTTTTTTTCTTTATGTGTTCTCCCTTCTTTTTTTCATTCTTTTATTTTATAATTTTATTATTATTATGTGTTTTTAAAACAATAGAAAAATGTAAATCATTAGTGTGGAAATAGACAGGTAAAAACAGATGAGCAACGAGCTAAGACTTAATAAATAATAAATTATTTTAATGAGTCAACTTGCATTTTGTAATTTTATCAGTTTCCAGTAGCTTGTGTAGATTTTACTTGTGTTTTTACAAATAGTATGTTAAGTGTGATCTGAAAGTTTTCTGAAATTAGCAAAGTATAAAATATCTGCAGTTTTGCAAAGTATGATCCCAAGATAGTAACTTATGAAAAAATATTAAAAGATTGTATCTAGCAGACTTGAATGTAACAAAAACAGGAAATGAAAATAAACATACACAAATTAATTTACACAAGAAACTATATAATCAATATGCAACAAATATTAAATTATATGAAATAAATATTTATATCATAAAAATGATAAATTGAAACAAATAATATACTTACTCTTGCCTTTTTCTCAAGCTCCATCATTAGCCGTTCATGCTGTTCTGCAATAGCTAGCGTAGCAGAATGGACTTTCTGATAAATCATTTCCCCTTCTCTTGTTTGGAAGGTAAATAGTCCCTCTCCTGTGTCACACATTCTATAATACAAACATGATTAAACGTTATTCAGACAGTGCAAGGTTAGCGGTTAATGAAGTCAGATGTTTATGCAGTACAAGGTAGGTGCTACTAATACTGTATATTGTTTGTGCAAGATAGGATTGGACATTATTAATAAAGTATTAGTTTCCTCAATTTAAAACAACAAACATAAAGATTACTAGGCAGATGTATGTGGAACCTTAAAAAATGTGCTCCCAACATAGAATGTATACAATGGGGTTACAGTATTCACCACTGAATGCAGCGTTTGAAGGGACAAAGTAGCGTTATGAATACAAAGCGGTATTACTAACGTTAGAGTGTCCCTGCCTCTAGTTCAATAGAGGACCCTTGGGTGCTCTAAAACTTAAGAATATAAAAGTTTTACTTACCTTTTTTCCAGCGCTGAGGCTCCCTTAGTACTGCTCACCTCCTGTAAAGTCATCAAGAAGGAAGGGCTTCCTCTGGTGTGGTCCAATCCAATACTCCTCATAGAGTAGCATTGGAGAACTGATACACATCGAGGACCTGATACACATCCAGGTTTCCTCATATGTAAGCATTGCATTCAATGTTTTGCTATGGGCTTCTATGTCATGTGACCAATTTTGACATTCTCAGTGCTGCAGAAGCGCCTCTTGTGACTGTCATGAAGATGGCCTCTAGAAGTGAATTTAATCCATTGTAGTTTCTAAAAAAACTCATGTTTTACATTGCAGGGTTAAAAGGACTGATCTGTCACATATTCATCCGCACATAAAAATGTGGTTAATGGCATTTACCATCCTGACAGGAAGAGTTGTGCCAAGCGGCAATCATGCATATGGAAACCTGGTAATTGCTTTTGGGGTCAAAGGCCAGTCATGGACAATCAGATCCACAGGAGGGCTTGTGATGAGCAGCAATCATGCACATGGAAACCTGGTAATTGCTATTCGATCTTGATTTTCTGGTATTTGACTTTTGCTTCGTTTTGACTTCCCTGAATTCTGGTATCCTTGACTTTTGGCTTTCCTTCATCGTGTCTGATTCTGTGTTCCTGACCTCAGCAAGTATTTTGATTATTCTTGGATACGTTAAGTTCGGCCATTCTAAGGTCTGGTTTTACGTTATCCTTAGTCTTAGGTGTGACACAGTTCTGCGTGCTGGATCAACTTGTAATCCTGACATTAAAACAGGGCCATAGATCCTGCAGAATTGTGTCAGCACATAGCAGCTTGTGAGAGAAGGCTAGAGGATTATTACTGATCACCGTATGGATCAATTTGCCCAGGCTTTTGGCACACTCCTTACTAGGATGGCTCATTTACAACCTGAGGCTTTACCGATTATGTCACCACTGCCTAATGTAACTCCACCTGTAGTATATAAGGCACTGATGATCTACCTATCTCCTCCCCTGCATTTAAGGAATGGCGACATCTTTTGGAGGGTTCCAAGGATCCCATTCTGATTATTACTGATCACAAGAACCTGGCATATATTGGGGATGCCAAACGACTGTCTTCTACACAAGCTAGATGGTCATTATTTTTGTCTCGCTTTAACTTTATCATCACCTACAGAGCCGGTTCTAAGAACATTAAAGCTCTAACAAGAGACATCCCCTATTATTTCTCCTGAGTGTATTATTGTATCCACTGTCCTTTCTTTATCATCCCCTTTCCTCTGTGCTATCATGGCGGCTCAGCCCCAGGCACCTTGAAACATCCAGGTATTAATAAAACTGTATCCACCATTTCCAGGTCACATTGGTGGTAGTCACTCAGGAGGAATATTAAAGATTATGCAGAAGCCTGCTCTGTCTGTGCAGTTTCGAAGGTTCCTTATAAACTTCCGTGATTGTTACAGCCACTTCCTATACCCAGTATCCCATGGTCTCAGTTATCGATGGATTTTATTGTTGAACTGCCTAGTTCCAATTGGTATACAACCATCCTCATGGTAGTTGACTGTTTTTCAAAAATGGCACAATTTACTCCACTTAAAAAATTGCCATTGTCTTAGGACCTGGTGCACATATTTATACGCGATATTGTCAGGCTACATAGTATTCCTCAAAATATTGTGTCTGACAGGGGTTCTCAATTTGTGTCACGGTTCTGGAGGGCATTCAATAAACAGTTGGGCATTGAATTGTCATTTTCCTCTGCTTACCATTCCCAAACTAATGGTACGGCTGAAAGAGCTAACCAATCACTTGAGCTAAATTAACGGTGCCTCGTGAATAGTACACAGTTTAACTGGGCTGAATTATTGTCCTGGGCCGAATTTGCAAAGAATAACGCTAACCATGACTCATCTAGGCATAGTTAGTTTTTTTGTCAATACGGGTCGTCATCCTGCTGTTCTC